ACCCCGGAGCGATTGAAGAGCCAGAAGACATACAGAGCTAAATCAGGCGATTACAGTGAATACGGCACAACATTGGTTGAAATTTTGGCGAAAAACTCACGAAGAATCAGTGCAGTATGCGACGGTGCATTATTGTGGTGCAAAAACCAAGAGTTGTCGGAACATAATTCCGCCCTATTTTACGAATAGCTTCGCACAAACCATGGATAACCCAAAAAGTATTCCTTGTTGACAGTTTGGCCGAAAGGATTTCGGAGTGCATCACATCTTGATAATAATAGTAATTGAAAAAAACCGTCTACATTACCTTTATTCTAGACCTTCGGGTCGCAAAGATAAATCCAGGACTCGTCGCCTGTAATAACATGTTTCATGATATGCTTGTAGTCGGAAAGCATTGTTTGACAGACGTTAAAGCAATACTGATTTTTGAAAAAAAATAATGATTTTGGAAACAATCGTGTTCTCACTTTTCTTAGCACCAAATTATCTTTCAAAATGTTTTTCACTGATTCTTACGATATTTCAAAGCCATCAGTAAGATCTCCGACCCTCTTGGAATGATTTACACTAATCAAACACACTTGCTCGCGACAAATAATTATCACCGAAGAAATTTAAAATTTTGATTGGAACTTCTTTAGTGAATAATTTCACTCATCGTAAAAATCGCCGAATGCACTTTATTTACTTCAGAAAGAGAATCATATATGATATATTGGGTAGTCGAAAAAGTATTTTCATAGTAATGAAGAAATTTGCTATATTTTGAAAGTTTTGTACAAAAAAGGGAAGAATGCCACAAAAGCCAGCAATGAAGTTTGTAAAGTTTATTGAGACGATGCTGTATCAGTTCTTGTAGCACAACAATGGTTCGCCCGCTTCCGTTCTGGAAGATGTTTGGGCACCACAAGAATTGTCTGTGAAAAATTTAATAGACCGGATTAACATCTGCGATTCTTTGCTGAAAGGAAATGAAATAGAACCATTTCTAAAGCGACTAGTGTCAGGAGACGAAAAGTGGATCAAATACGACAATAATGTGTAAAAAAGATCATGGTCCGGGCGTGGTGAAGCTCAACAAATGGTCGCAAAGCTAGGATTGACGCTTCGAGAGGTTATGTTGAGTGCTTGGTATGATTAGAAAGGAATCATACACTATGAGCTGCTCCAGCCTGGTCGAACAATTGATTCTACATTTTCATGTCGACAACTGATGAGATTGAAGCAAGCAATCGAAAAAAAACGGCCAGAATTGATCAACAGACACGGCTTCGTCTACCATCAGGATAACGCTAGACCACACACATATTTGATGACTTACCAAGGACTGAGAGAGCAGGGAAGTTTTAATGCATCCACCATATAGCCCTGACCTTGCCACAGTAGACTACCATTTGTTGCGGTTAATGTAGAACTCCCTTAGCAAGTAAAGTTGGATTCAAGAGAAATCAGAATTCCACTTGCAAGTCTGATCAATTCAAATAAATTTTTTTCACAATGATTCCTATTCGGTAGGTCTGCTTTGCCTCTAATGTACAAATACATAAACTTAAACTAAAAATAAGAGTTATTGTCGGCCAAGCACATCAAAAATATGTAAGAACCAATTACAGAAAAATATAAAGCATACAAGCATATATGTTGCTTTAATATAAAAACATACAAGCATACATTATCTAAATGTTGTCCGCGTGCAATATTCTAAATATTGCAAAGTTTTTAGACCGAAACCGTTAGCAAGCCTCCAAAAATTAGTCAAGCAGAAAATGAAGATTCTTCCTTAACGGGAAATAATGCGCATTAAATAAATAAAAATATGAAAGCTAATAAATATTGAATGGTGACCCAATAAGATCAAGCAATCTTACATGAATTCTCCTTTTCCTAATGATCTCACAGTGCATTGAAAGCCTCTTTGTGTTGAATGAGTCTAAAAACCTTATGTTCTACGTATGACGACTTCAATGTTCGAGAAAAGATAAAAAAAAAATCACCTTTACATAAAAGTGAACCCTAACAAAGAGTGATCCAAGTATACGTATTTTTTTCAATAGCCTTTTTTTGAAATATCATGCGTGAATCGGGTCAAGCTTTCTTGTGTATTGTTTGGCATTTCATCACGAAAAGACTTACGCATGAATAACGTTTACAAATCTTTCAACTTTATTACGAAAATGTATGCTCTGCAAAGAATGTGTTGCGCACGCCTCGCTCGACTTATGATCAAAATGATCGGTCTATTAAGTGTAATATTGAGACCGAGTATTAATTACTGCATAATTTTCGACCGAATACTCTACATCTAGCAAGCAGTGAAGAAAATATAGCAGCCATAGTAGAGAGTGTATACACAGACCGTTAGGAGTTGATTCGGTACCGTCGAGATTTTAAATTGACAGCTTGTGCAAGAACTGAAGCCGCTCGACCTTCATCGCTTCGCTCTACAGGCTCCGGAACTTTTCCGAAAGAAGATCCGACGTTTTCGAGTCAAATTTAGCAATGCTCAGCAATGAGACCCATTCCTGGCTGAATGGGTATGTAAACGAGTAAAATTGCCGCGTTTGGAACAAAAAGCAAACTGAAGAGGTTTAAGAGCTGCCATTCTCGAAATAGATCATAATATGTATATAACACAATTTTCATTTATTTAAAATCGAGCTAAGTACGGATTCTTTGAAAATTGTAAAACGCTGCTATAAATGATAAAAAAAATTGTAAAAAATTCAGCCTTTTTCTCCTCGCAAATCTCACCACGAAGATATGCATTGTGAATCCACTTATTAGCAATTCAATTTTTATTAGCGAAATTTCTTTATCACGTAAAAAATTCTACAAAACTCAAAGAAAAAAAAAGGGCAGCATCAATAAGTTCATCATCGTAAGTTCCGTTACGTGCGGTGCATTAGTGTGCCCGGATCCAAGAAAGCGTCGTTAGTAGGTTGTTAATGTCAGCTTTTAAAATAATTCGTAATGAAATGGAGAGTTAAACATAACAGTTAAAACTAACAACACATATTTAAATGCAAAGTTTTCTCTCACACGTAAATACACTGCCTTCCACCAGAAACATCAACCCAATCGGCGCTTGCAATTAAGTGACGTTTAAAAACTATTCGTATGTAGTCCATTCATACATGGGCGTACTCGTGGCTTTGCGGGCGAAGGTGCAGTTTTAAGCGGCGGCAGCAGAGACGCTTTGAGACAATGTGCGTTTTCACTGTCATTTAGTGGATATTATGCAAATTTATGCCAGTCAACCGCAAACAGTGCGACAGAATGTGAATTCCATTCAATTAAAGGCAGATTTAGATTGTGCGAATAAATTATTATATGTGCATTAGGGTGGCAGTTGTTTATTTAAAATTTTTTTTATTTATAATTTTGCTGAATTTTTTGATGAGAAGGATCTTTATAATAAAGCGCTTAATTATTAATAATTTTACGTCAAATATATGTATATTAAAAGATCATGTGAAATTTTCAAATCGATCGATCCAGCGATTTTAGAGCAATTTTCTTTACTGACACAAAAAACGCTCACTTATACGAAAACATTTTTAGGATCAACTTCGAATTTTTCGAGAGTATTCTGTAATGTATGTACATTCGATACAAAGGGTGATCCTTTTCGAGTTTCTCTATATTTTTAAAGAAAAAACACCGAAACATCAAATTTAAAGGGGAATGCTTATTATCATTCGAAAGAACATTCTTTGGCATTTATTTCCGGAAGATTATCTCTTCGCGGCTATGTCTCAGATGATTTATCAGTTGAGTCCAAAGCATTTCGACTCATAACTGGGAAATGACGCACTTGATGTTTTGTTCAGGATCTGAATCGAAGCAGGATTGTCTGCATAGACTTCAGACTTTACATATCCTCACAGGAAAATGTATAACCGACCCAAAACACGGAATTATCTGCTCACCGACGAGTTCTCTCATTACATCCTTTGATTGATGCGATATGTGGGAAGTGGCGCCGTTTTGTTGAAACCAAAGTTTCACGAGTTTCAATTACAGAAATCAGTTAGTCATTTATCATGGCGCGATAACTATCGCCATTGACGGTTACGTTCTCACCGGCATCATTTTTAAAGAAATTCGAACCGTTGATTTCACAGGCTTACAAACCACACCAAACCGTTGTTTTGGCTCTTCGTTCCAAATACGATAAGTTTGCTTGGTTACATACCCATTGAGCCGGATATGGGCCCCATCGCTGAACAAATGTGCCGAACTTGACGTGATCTATTCGGTCGAATATTGTCCAAGAATTAATGCTGGGTCTAAAGATGGGTGATGATGTCGTAGTACGCTGATTATATTGACCATAAGTTAAGCGAAATGTCCGAAACACATTCTTTTTTTTTTCATAATAAAGTTGAACGATTTGTAAAAGTTGCTCAGAAACACTGAACAAAAATAACATGACAGCTTGTCTCGACTCACGCGTGATCTGTCAGAAAAAAGGCTATTTAAAAAAGTATCTCAGCTTGGATCATCATCAGGAAAATGAAATAAATGGGTCTAAATCACCAGATCAGTTATAACATCAAGAGCTAATACACTGCAGTAATTTATAAGCTCCGAAATATAAAAATAACAAAACCGAAATTTTCGGAAAAAATGCCATCCATAAGCGATCAAAGCAAATAATGTATTGACATAGCTTCAAAACCAAATGTACATGTAGGCGCGGCCTAATGTGAACTTTAGGTAAACGAAAGTCTCAGCGATACATTACTCACTCATTGCGACGATCCGATCATACATATGTCTTGTTAGCTTGCGAATATCTCATACTTTCTTTCAATTGAACAAATGCTTGCTTTTACTGCTGATTTTTTTTTTTATTGTTTTGCATTTGCAACCGCAGATGTTGCCTTAAATTTAACTCGTTTATTAGTTTAACGACACAATACCCGTAAAGCTATCCATTTGTGCGCTAAAAATAAAGGCAATAAATTACATACTCATTTATTTCTCTTCCGCAGATCAAAAGCGAAGAGGTGGTCGAGGCGTACATCGAGCGGTGTAAGCAGGTGAATCCTTTGATTAATGCGATTGTGCAAGATCGCTTCGAAGAGGCGCTTGAGGAGGCACGTGAAACTGATCGCCTCATCGCGTCCGGTATCAACACCATCGAGGAGATGGAGGAGAATACACCATTGTTAGGCATACCCGTAACGGTAAAGGAGAGTATCGCCGTCAAGGGTTTGACCAATCAGGCGGGACGCGTTTTCAAAACACCACAGATTGCTAAATCGGATGCGCCTGTGGTGGAACAGATCAAACGTTGTGGTGGCATAATAATGTTGGTATCGAATACACCAGAGCTGTGCCTACTATGGGAGACCTACAACAATGTGACGGGACAAACGAAAAACCCTTACGATTTGAAGCGCACACCGGGTGGCTCTTCGGGTGGTGAGGCCGCTCTGTTGGCGAGTGGTGCTTCGTTGTTGGGACTGACCTCCGATATTGGTGGTTCATCACGCCTGCCCGCCATGTTCAGCGGCATATGGGGACACAAACCAACACCATACTCCGTTTCATTTAAGGGCCACCATCCGACCAGCGATTACCCGAAATGGGGTGATTTCTTCACAATTGCACCGATGACACGTTACGCTAAAGATCTACCATTATTGCTCAAATGCATGTTAGATCCTACCGGACCTAAGCTGACACTCGAACGTGAACTTAGTCCGCAGAGCATACGTTTCTTCTTCATGGATAACGATGGTCCATCGGGCATGATGCGTCCGTTGAGTCGCGATCTGCATGCCGCCATCAATCGTGTGGCCACCGATTTTAATGCGAAACGTGTAAATATCAGAAAAATGAAACTCTCCCTAGACATCTCACTATCCGCCATGCTGACCATGAAGAACATCGAAACCATCTATTACAAAACAGAAGAAGGCGAACGTCCGAAAACCGTGTGCACCGAAACTGTAAAATACTTCTTCGGCTGTTCGGATAGCATATTGCCATCGGTGATATTCGGACATTTGCAAAACTTCATGAAAATCATACCGAATTCACGCCACAAGCACTTGGCCACTATCATTGAGGCGCTCAAGACTGAATTCAAAGAGCTGCTCGGCAACGATGGCGTCTTTCTCTATCCAACATTTCCGAATACGGCGCATCAGCATTATCAAATCTACCACAAACTGTTGGAACCCATGTATATGGCGATATTTAATACGCTGGGCTTGCCCGTCACCAACTGTATGATCGGTTTGGATCGACGTAATCTGCCAATGGGTATACAGGTAGTGGCGAATCCGGGACAGGATCATCTCTGCTTGGCGGTGGCGCGCGAAATGGAGCGACGCTATGGTGGTTGGGTGCGTCCGCCTTCAGAGGAGTCAGCGAAGCGTGTATAAAGCAGCAGTGAGGAGCAAAATGCGACAAAGAGAGAGAGAGTGAGAGCGAGAGCGAGAGAGTTCATATATGTGTTAGGCGTAAGGTGCAAAGGATGTGCCTTCAAAGCTATGTCGGCAGTCCAAACTATTTTATTAAGTTCAAAGCGGTGCAGATATAAATTGGGTTGAACTGCTATGTACATATATGTATAAGAAGGAATGTAGCGATTGTGCCTTTATACACCATGGTGCCTCACTTGTGCTACACCTTTGCTCCGAGTTTGGTAAAGCTCTTGGACGTCAACTTTCTAAGCTTTGCGAAGCGACTGATGTTACGTTATAACAAAAATAATATTTTCATAATTTTATATACTAATATATATAGATTTAGCTAAATTTGTAAATTGGCATCACATTTTTGTAACTGTAATTTAATTTGCATTTGCATCACGAGTATTTATAGAACAAAAAACAAAACCTGCTTTTTTTCATAATATGAAACTTTTGTAAATTTTAAAAATATATTTAATGAGAATTTTTCGTTGTTTAGGATTTTTTGTTAATTATTGCTAATATTATTATTGTTTTATTAATCATTTGATTTGAAATTTTTATAGGCGTGAATTTGAGTACATACTGTGTGTGAATTAGGTCTAGCATAAAGAATCCATTATTTTTCAAATATATATTATTAATCTGTATTACGAGTTGTATAACTGCGATGAGGTTATGCAATAGAACGTTAGCAGGATAATATTTTATAATAAAAAAAAACATTCAGACAGTTTTGTGATTGCTTGCTTAAGTATTGTTAGAACGCTCCTCAAAGATGGTCATCAACAGATAAATAAATTACGGCAAAATTTATATTTTTTATCGATATAAGCGAAATCGCAAGCCAAGTGGCTGAGAATGCGTTTGGGGGCCTGATACTGCAGCATGTTATATCAAAGATACACAGAGCGAACTCTTTAAGGTCAATTGTTTGCTAACAAAACCAAGCGTTTTCCCTAAATCGGTTAATTCTAACTACGCTAAAAAAGTCCCTCAAACTATTGCAAAAATAATGGATTGCTCGTTTCTAGACCCAATATTCACAAAGACATGCACGAAACTCACCAATAATCTTAAAAACAAACACAAAAAAATATTAAAAATATTGCTAGCTTATATGCGAATAACTGTCATACATCACGCACACTATCATAACATATTTGATAATGTTTTTTATTATATTCAATGTTCATTTAAAAGAATATACAAATGTATCTTAATTAATTAAGCCAACAACAATCCAAAAAGATCCTATCATATACGATTATACATACATATATTATGATTATTGTAAAAAAAATATATATATAAATAATTGCTATACAAGTACTTGAATAAAAACATTATTATAGATTGTGTAGATACATATGTACATACATTTGTACGTATGCATGTATATACTAAATGTAAGCAAGCATGTGAGCTGAGTAATTGCATAACTAAATAACGACCAACGGATTTCGAATAAACAATCAGCGAAAATTTCGAACATACTAGACCGCACAATCTTTTCAATCTAATTACCCAGAAGCGGTCGGCCACACAAATTAAATAGCTGCGGTATATTAAATTTATAAATTTTGTATTTACTTTGTTTCAAGTTGTTTGTATTTTTTGCAGTTTCCTTTATTTCAGTGCTAGTGCTAAGAATGTTGTGTGTAATTGCTGTAAATTTTGCAATGCTTCAAAGCGAAAAGCGACAAAAAGAAGTTGACCTCCATGAACGAAAATGCGCGTGAAAACGTTCAAATCAACTGGTGCTGCATACATACATATAAACATGCATAAATGTATACATATGCACACACACACAGTACATACATATGTAAATGCATTACCTGAAAGCCGAAATTCGAGCAAACTTTATATGTGCCTATTGTAAATGTTCACACACGTACACACACACAAAGACAATACATATATTTGTATTTGCATAATTGCCTCTAATGTGTATAACTACGTGTTTATGTCGAGAAAAGTACCCGGCTATGTTTAACTGACGAATTTATGAGCCTTGCAAAATTACCGTTGAAATTCAAATTTATAGCTTGGTTTATATAATGGCTGTCGTTTACGATAATTTTGGCGATTGTAGAGCAAGTAAATTTTGCGTTTTTATTATTTTGAACTTTTGAAATTCAAAAAGTACATATATTGTGTTTATAAATATCTTTATGGATTCGATTTTTTTTATTTTCGAAAATATCAACCAAAGAATCTAGGCCCGTGCAGACCTCTTTGAAAATGGTAAAAAGTGACAAAATAATTATATTATATATAATATAAGTGGCTTCAACTTTAAGAACGCTAGGCCCAATTTATGGTCGTCATAATCCTCCTGTCAGATCAGTACAAAATGTTTCCAAATTGACGCAAGAACTGAAGTCGCTTGACCACCTAAATCGTCGTATGTTCGCGCCTTATCTTCAGCGATGAGGCTCATTTCTGTTTGAATGCCTTCATCAATAAGCAAAATATGCGTTACTGATCAGGCAACGACCCAGACGTACTCCATGAGTCACCATTGCATCTCGATAAAATTACGGGCTTTTGCCGATTCATGGGTCGGCGGCGTCATTGCGTCGTACTTCTTCCGTAATTATTAAGACCGGCACATTACTGTGAATGGGAATCGCTGCCGCTCAATGATAACCGAATATTTTGCCCCAAACGGAATGATGTGAACTTGGACAATATGTGGTTCCAAAAGGACGGCGCCTCAACCCACACACCGAATGTCACAATCAATTTATTGAAAACCAAATTTGGTAAACGTGTTATCTCAGGAAATGACCCAGTCAAATGGTCGCCTGAGTCGTGCGATTTGACGCCGTTAGACTATTTTCGGTAGAGATACGTCGATGGCCTATAGAACTTCGTACGAATATCGTACGTGAAATTGCAGCGGTGTCGGCCGATGTATGCTTGAAAGACGTCGAAAATTGTGTTCAGCGTCTGAACTTCTGCAAGCGAGCCCCTGGTAGTCATGCAAAAGAAATTGACTTTCATACATAATGCCAAGGAAATTACTTATACACAAATAAAAAATGTCGTTGATATCCCAAACCGTTTTTGTTTTCTTTAAGAAAGTTTTGTAGCGCTCTTATTGAAAACGCTGATATTAACCCGATTCAACGCATATGTAGTACATAGATATACTACTATCAGTAAAGGTTTCTCTCCGAATTTCAATTATAAATCTGACACATTAACCAATATTTTCGGTAAGACGTCAATTACAGGTACTGGGGTCAAATATCCGGTACCTAGGAGCTTGAACAATTTTTGTTAGATTTGGACAATTTTTGGCCATAAAGTGGCATACTCTGAAAGATGGCTTCTTTATGTGTATACTCGAAAGGAAAAAAATTACATGGAATTTAAAATTGTGCTAAATGAGAAGTAGGCGTGGCTGTAGTCCTATTTCGCCTATTTTCGCACTGCAACATAAAAATGGTAGATCAATATCACGTACGAAATTTGGCTGAAATAAAAAAGGAACGAATTTTTTTTTTTAATTATTCACTTCAAAAACTTCGAGACTCAATAAAAAACAATTACAGATATTTTCTTTAAAGATAAAATAATTCCGGGAATGGAAAGTAACAAATAGCAAAAGAACCATATTAGTTATTTAACCAGTACAGCAAATACGGAAGTCACCAAAAACGACGCAAAATTAAATTTTCGAAAGGACAAATGAATCTTGACGGAATGGACTGCCTTAAGGATATGCAAGATCGCCAATGTCATGTGCAAATCCTAGTTAGCCTAATGACAAGTCGCAACCTACTGACATCATATACGAACTGGATGGGCTTAAGTACCGACGATACGTGCAGATAATGTAGGGAAGTAGAAATAAGAAAAACACAGGAACGCCTCCAATGCTTCTATTCAGCCTTATCTAGAACTCGTCTTAAATATCTAGGCTTCTTAATGCACTTATATTTTGGTATTTGGCAAATGTTTTTTGTTCACTTATTTTTTTTTTTTTCAAAATATTCTCAACTAAGATCTGCAGACCTTTGCGTGTGTTTAAACCAATTCGTAGCACTTTTGCCACTTTCAGTGAGGTATCTCCAAAACATGCGCTCTGAACGCCTCAACCGCCTATTTAGGTGACCTATTAGTTTATTTTATTCTTATGGGAATAAGAAGAAGGCGTTGTGAAGAGAGATCCGTTAGTTTTCCTGATTTCTTGGAATACATCAAACAAACAAATGGTTGTATCTTCTTCTTCTTCTTAATTATTAATTAATGCTGGTTATAACTATTCACTGGGAGTGTTTTTTACGTGGCGGATCCCAAACCCAGCGCAAAACCCTATGTAGGGTGGTTGTATGCCAGTCAGAATTTATTGCTCTGTATTGTTCTAGAAGTAGGATTGCGACATGTTCACTTTTTCTAAAAAAAAAAAATAAAATACAAGCAACCGTTTGCTTGGAAATGCTTCCTGCACGAACAGCTTTTGTTGGATTCGGACTCATAGGTATGAATTCACGATTCACTTGTCATGTTGCTTTTTTTGAGCATTTGGCAAATCGTTTGAGGTCTAAAAGAAAAGAACTTTTCTACAATGAAATGCTAATGGAATATTGAATATGTGGTATTCTTTTCTATAGTTGTCTAAACCTCCTGATGTGGTTGCCATGACGATCTGGCAATGGCAGTTTGCGCACAGCATCTATGTATAGTTTCCACAACTATAACTGTTTTAGAACGACCTTTAAGAAATTTGTCTTGGAGTGAATAACGACCTCGACTAGAACCACAATACTATCAATAAACACTGGCCCTTGACGATTCTTCACCGCACAAACTTCATCGATGCACTGTTGGTGAGATAATCCACGTCGAATGTTATAAAAATTAGCGCACCATAATGATCTCAATCTAATTCCATTTTGTGGACGAGATGAATATTTTAAGTTACTAACAACAACACAAATAGCCCTCGTATGTCAAAACAAGCTGAGTATGTCTAATATCAAAAATGTCGAACTTTACGACGCAGTTGTAAACTGCCAGATGGTAACACTAAAGTCGCCAAATCCCGAAATATAAAAGGCAAAATATAATTACAGCAATGAATATTAAGTATTCTGGAAAGTGCGTGTTCCCATGAAGTAAGTAGTTTTACTAGTTTAAGTTGCTAGGCATTATTGTAGGAAAATAATTGTTTTCTTGGCCTCAAGCAATTAGACGAATTTCTCTCGATATTGGAATCAAGAATATATGAAAGGTGAAAACATTTTTAAAATTGAACAATGTTCGAGGTGTGCGACCCAATACTCCACAATGAATTGTATGTTAAGTGTAATTATAGTGCGCAAAAAGAATGCGTTGTTGAACTTTCTTAATTGGTTTTTGTTCAAGTTTGAACTTGATTGGTTGATGCTTTTGAATGTAGGCCAAAACAGATCAAAGGCGAACGAAAAATGTGCACTAATGTGCTAGTTAAATCTAATCTTCATAGGACACTTGTATACATTTTCCAGCTGACAGATAACTGTATGAAATAGCATTTCAAATTATACACGTTTTGGTATATTGAAAATATAAATATAAACGTACTTCGTGTTCTAATGAAATAATATTTTTGATAATGACAAAGTTGAACCCATAAAGAGGTTTTCATGTTCCGATCTCTGCACAAGCCAAATCAATCATTCATAACTGCTTTGCGAAATTCTTTTCAGTACCGAAGACTATTAAAATAATGTGTATCAAAACAAGAATGTTACGAAAGGAAATATCAAAAATCCACAAAACTTCTCTAGTTGGTGATAGAATGAAGTTGACTGAGATGGTTAACAATCTACAGACGTCAAAGCATCGTGTTGTGCAAATTGATCATAAATATTTCAAAGTACGGAAGCACTTTCGGTAGTGGTTGCTATCAGTGCGTAGAATTGAAAAAAAAATTCTTCAAATCACTCACTGAAAATAATTGAGTGTTTAATACATAAACGGCAAAAGGATCATTAATATCGATGTATGTTGGAATATTTCCTCCATAGCAATTATAATAAATAAAAGTCTACACTGCTCTTTATTTCAGAATTCGCTGGAAAATGCCGAGGTTGAGGTAAGCGTCTTTCTTGATATCGAAGGTGCTTTTGACAATGCGTCCCACACAAGGGTCAGCAAGGCACTGAAAAAAGTAAAGTACCGGCTCCAATATGCTGATGTATAGGGGATGTACTGCGTACTAGGATAGCTGAGACCACTGTGGGCAAGAGAAAAGTTTGTCTTAGTACTACGATGGCCGTCAACCCGTAAAAAAGCAATCGTCGTCACTTCCTTTTCACTAAGCGAAGATCTCTTCCGGGTTTGTGGCCCCTAATACTGGCTGGTAGGTAGCTGGAGGTGTCTAAAGAGGTCAAATTCTTAGGACTCACATTAGTCACGACCTTACGGTGGAATTAACACTGTCCAGAGCCAACAAGGCATTTATGATATATAGAGGCCTAGCCGGCAGATCCTGGGGCTACAAGCCAGGTATCATCAGGTGACTGTATAACATGATCGTAAGGCCTATTGTCATTTATGGAGCGGTTGCTTGGACATCAAAGGCTACACAGTCTTCGGTAGGTCTACAACTATCGAAGGTGCAAAGACTCGCCTGCCTCTGCGCTTCAGAGGTAATGCGCACTTACCCAACCGCAGCACTTGAAGTCAAGATGAAGCTCACACCGCAGCGTGAAAAAATTCAGTCTTCTTGACATATTCCATCTCCGCCACTGGGCATTGCAGGCTCGAGAAATATTTGTCTCAGTCTCTTGCCCAAACTTCGGTTTTACGACAAAAAACCGGAAACTCCAGAACATTTGATTCTAGGCTCTTTGATCCATTCACTTGGATAGGTATCATATCACCTCCATCGCGGTCCAAGAGGTCTTTCCTTAACTACGTCGACGACATAAGTCATTGCGCCGATCAGTCTTCGGACGCAACTAACTTCAAACATGCACTGAGCTCCATTCACAGTGCAGTCTTAAATACCTTCACCGACTTCATCTCAATTGGAAGCAAACCATCAGACATTGCAGACGACGAGCTCAAGTTACCGCGAGAATCGATAGTGACCCTTGCGCAGCTTTGTTCTGAACATTGCAGCCGGTTAAACTAGTACTTATCCAGAATCGACATCGACATACCAAATATATGTCCAGCATGCAACGAGTCCCCGCATAACTCTAACCACCCCTTTGCATGCACACATCTAACGCCCCTCTCGCTATGGTGCCACTCCGTAGAAACAGCATGTTCCCTAGGCCTACCGTTGCACGACTTCGATGACAACTTATCTGAACCTTACCACCCTAACGGGGAGATAGATAACCGTTCCAACAAATAACCACAAAAACAGAAATCTTATTTTTCGTTCTTATTTTAATTTTTAAAGACATGACCTTTCATTTAGCACCTTGACAGCGACATCGAAATACTATGTGAACGCATTGAAACATTTCTACGAGTAATTTATATGCAGAGCTTCAATTTGTCTTACCTAGAATTCGAAGAATACGTCGAGATATGTAATTATATACAAGTGTTTATACATACATACTAACATATGTACGTATGTATGTATGTGTTATGAAAAATGTTTTTCTTTCAGTCACGTTTTGAAACTTTTACTTCAAATTTCTACGTTATTATTGTACATACAAGTATATGTATATAAATATATTTCATTTACAGTCATATATACATACTTTGTTGGTATGTAGGCAGTAATTTCTTCATATGAAATTCACATCAGCAAGCATTTCATTTACACAACATCTTACGATCAAAAAACCAGTAACTTGATTTCCAAATTCTTAACAGGTATGTGGAGAGCAGAATGAGTACCAACATTAAGTAGATCCAAACTATACAAGTACAAATTTTTCAAAAAATCTTCAACTATGCTGAGCGTTTAGCAGTAAGTAAATAGAAACCGCCTACCTAAGCGTAAAAAATTTCGTTAACGCTCAGCGTTACATACCAAATCTCCAGTGATGGAACAAGACTTCAGCTCTGTGCTGCTCTATCTGCTCAAATTGCTCACGCTGGATGTGGAATTTCTTATAGTTACTGCCGTGTGCTCTCTGCAGCCTTCACCCACAAGCGCGCTGAAGCGGGTTTTCGGTGTAGAAGAGCGCTCGACGTGATTCGGCCACTGAAAAGGGTAGCATTCAGTGCGCACAATCTCCATTCGGTTGTGGAGCTTGCTTTTTGCCACACAAATGTTTCAGCTCAATAGCGTAAGTGACCAACGGTTTGCAGTTGCCAACCAACAAAACTATCTTTCACTTCATTTTCGGCAATCAAACGAGGCTAAGGCATTTTTACAAGTCTCCTCTTTTAGAGCGTGGCATTTATTATACTAAACTTATCTGAATTCTTGCTGGCATATACATACATACATACTTACTTACATATGTTTGTATATGTATAAGCATAATTAAAATAAATATTTGCTTCAAATACCGAGTGTAATTAAATTAATTGTTATTCTGCGCATTTGAGGTGGTAAATCAATTGCAATATTTACACACCGTGATCTCGCAGATATATTAAATATGAAAAGTGTGTCTAATACCGTGTTGAGTCAACCGAAAATAATTCATGGTGACTTTAACCCCGTAGGACGCGTACACGTGTTTAAGAGATTTGCCTAAGCTTTAACTGCAGACTAATTGCTATAATACCTTTGATTTTAATTGACATAAATATGAGCCTGAATAAGCTTAATTCAATTGCAATTAATCAATCAACATTCTTGGAATATAATTGAATAATTCTATTTTGCCATAGCGTAGCATATCTTGGCCACGTTGTAAAATATGCTTTTGCTGCTCACATTGCTTCGATAAAAGCTCGGATGGACAGCAATCTTTATGCATGAGCTCCAAAACGTTTTTAATTGGAATTTAGAGTGCATATACTTATATACAAATAGTATACATGTACATGCATACATATTAATTTACGAGTCTTATACTTATTTATTTGTTAAAACTTAGTTGTTGATTAAATATTATAATTTATACGCCCAGTTGTAAATTGATAATTGTTTTAATGTTTCGCTTAATAACCTTTTAGGAATGTTTGTAGGTAACATACATACATATTTATATTTTTACTATTTTGTTTCTAGTCTTGATAGTGGTTTTAAAATGATAATAAAAGCGGATAGATAGTGATAGATGTTTGTATATGTATATATGTATGTACTTGTATGTACGAACGCAGGAGCCTGAGCGACAGACACTAAGTCCATAAACACCACTTTGCTTGCACTCGGTCGGTCAGTCAAACTTAAACAAAACAGAGCCCATTTTTCCGGCTAAGGAATGTCAACTCGCAGCATTTCTCAAAATTGTGAAAAATATATTTTCTGCTTCGAAACGACAACAACCCTGTAATGCAACTACTTTAACATGATTAACATAGTATTTTCAGCCAAGCTTCATACTTATTAGTAAATGCAAGACTTCATTGAATTCGCAGATATTTTCTCTATTCCATTTAGGCTTTTCACAATCCTTTTATCCATCAATTTCATCAAAAATATGTGAATATCGCCCGCTTCACAGAAGCTCTGTATATATGTATGTATGCACATTATTTTGTAGTTTTGTATGGTTTCATATAACCGGTAATATCTCATTACGAAAAGTTGTGCCTTCAAATACATTTCTAATGAGAAAAACAGTCTTAAATATACATATGTATGTATATACTTAAAGGTATAAAATAAATTAATTACCCACTTCAAGGAAGTTGAAAATAGGCGCATCAGTTAGCTTCTTATTACATACATATGTATGTATACACAAATCATTGAAAAAGTATATAAAAATGTTTTAAAATAAAATAATCTTCACATTATTTTTAATACTGCCTTTGGAGCCTTAATAAGATGTCTTACACACCTAAGGTTCCTCGTCTTGAATATTTAATTCGCTTGCAACAATACTTATATTGGAATAATGATTATCGGTAATTAAGTTATAGCAAAAATACAATAGTCATTAGCTTTCCTACTCACCCAGTGGTAAACCACTCAGAAATCCTTGTATATTGCAATACTATGCTATATTACAATTATCCATGCAAGCACTGCTCTTTTCAATTTCTCACCGCTTTGCACTTCACATATTTTTTAAATAAATATTTCAAATACTAGTCCATTCGTTCACAATTTCACTTAACACAAAAATATTAAATAAGAATTGCAAATAATTCTTTACTTTTTCAATTATTAACCAAAAATCACTTTTTCTTACAAATTTGCATGACAAATTGAAATTATCTTCACGTTTGTCCATTTCTTCCTTTTTATTAATAAAAGGGCGCAATTTCTATTCCACCTGACGTCCTATACGCATTGCAATAACCCTGTACGAAAAATTGCTATTAGTAGTGAGAGCTTTCGATAAATATGTTCAATACGAAGAGTGACACTTTAGATATTCCCTGAGGAAACCTAAGGCTTCTAGAAAGATAATTTGGTAAATTTATTGATGTATAGACATTTCTTGTGCGTAAATAATTAATTTTTCTTTTAAAATATATTGTGTGCGGACTAAATACAAGTAATATCGGTTAATATCGATAAATAAAAGTTTATCAAAATGAATTGGTTGAACAACAAAACTCACTCTTTTTGTTGCTTTTCTTACAATTCGATGATTTAACAAAGTTATTTTAAGTAATTTAAAGAATTCCATGCAGTATTTATGCATATATTCTTCGTTGCTATATACGCAATTAGATAGGAATACCGTATACCGTAAAATGTATAACGTTTAAGCTAATCCCGTTTAATGTCAATTATAGCAGTGTGGCAACGCTCCACATCTAGTTAAACAGCTGACCAAGAGTGAATTATTTGTTGCTCACTATCTGTTAAACATAAGTAATAATTTTAAACAAATTGTTCAATAAATAGATATTTGTATTGAATGTGAAAACGTGTAACTGCTGCCACCGAAATGTCTATAGAATATGCCAATCTCTGTTCAGTGGTGGTGAAGCAAGTATTTGGCGAGACAGTGCAAATCGTTGCAGATTGTTTATTCTGTGCAGTCTCACGCACATTGCCGGCTATCTTAAAAACAACAAAACTATCACGTAAAGAGGTAAAGTATATTGTCGTTATAGCATGCAAATTAGATATTTGTTTTTCTTGAGTTATAGCATGTGTATTTAAATTTTAGGTATCCCTCGCATTGGCGGTGCTTATTAAATATCAACTGGTTGTGTTTATACCTTGCGAGTCAAACCCCTTCTTGGCGGAGTACTCGTTGAAGCGTGAAGAGATTTTTAACATACTACGTTATCCAGGGTATGTGTGACATATTGTTATTCTTTCCTTTATAAAACTTTATTATTTTCTTTCCTTCACAGTTATGTGCAATTGATTCATACCAAATATGGTGCAGTTGGTGCTGCCATTGCAGAGGAGCTACTGCATGGTGGTCCTCAAACCGCCACTAATGTGCTGCTCAAATGTATAGCTAGTTCAGAAGTCAAGGAAAAAGTCGACACGTATCGTGACAATTTCTTGACTATGGTAAGCGATAATTATTTAATACGTTTACCACAGCTGATAACTGGCGAAGAGGAAACTATACCGAAATTTCAAATTGATGCTTATCAATACTTTGTGCCACCAGATATAAATCTACATTTCATCGCACAAGTGCAAGCTGGCGAAACAAATGTGGAAAAAGCTGCTGATGCAGGTATTTTTTGGCATTTAAATTTCAGTCGTTTCCATCAAGATTTTCGGGATGCGGTAATGATCGGTGCGATAGAGAAAAAACTTGGTGCCAGCACTGGAGAATGCTTTAAATTTATACTTAAACAAATGTATGAGCGTACAGATCCCTGGCAAAAGGTGTGTATAAAATATCATGTACAAATCTTTATTTAATTTCTTATGTTATAGGAATGCTCGAATCCATTCACACTAGCTGAAATCAAGCAATTGATTGAAAAGAAATCCAACAACCTGGATTTGATTAAACATTTAGATCAGTACGTCACGCTTATAGGTGTGTAGTGTTTATTAAGTTATTATTACTATTTACAACATTTAATTGTATTATATACCAGCTGATGATCCCTTAAGCTTCATACGCAAGGTCGGCGATATGGGCGGTGGACAATATGTCGTAGATTTAAATCGGGCTTTCGAGGAATTAACGCTGGCTTGGTTTGGGCATGTAATTACCGAACGTTATGGCTCGAAGGCGTCCCGTATATTTCGCATTATTTACATGAAGAAATTCATCGAACAAGAAGATTTGCAAAAGGAAGCGATGATACCAGCGCGTGAGGCGAAATTACTGTCGTACTACCTATTTCAAGATCAATTTATACAAATAAAAACTATTAGAAAAGCGGGCGGTGGTGGTACGGGGCCTGCTAAAGCATTCTTCTTGTTCCACTTCAAGCCCAGACAGGTAATTATACCCTAAATATAATATATTAAGGAAACGTCGAACATCCCTTTAAATAAATATATAGATGATCATGGTGTCGAGCTGCGTCGATTTAAACACGTCGGTTTGTCTGTCCGTCTGTATATCGATGTGAAATTACGCACATGTCCTAAAACTTCTTTATTTGTGTTTATAGCTTTAGTTTTTCTCTACGACACATCTTTTAACTCTTTATTTTTCCAGAGCGTACGCATGGTTTTGAATGTTTGCTATAAAGCTTTATATAACACAATTGAGCGCTCCAATTTCGAAAAGTCCGAGCATAAACGCTTAATTGAGAAATCACAAAAGTTGGACAGCATTGTTGCAACGATGAAGGAGCGTGGTGAATCAGCCGAATATATTGATGAGGTATGTACTGTTATATAATAAGTATTAATTTATTTCTATACTAAATTTTTTGTATACTTTTTTTACGCAGATACTCGAAACTTTGACGCCGCCCGAGAGAGAGATACTGGAAAAGGTGAAATCTCGTCTCAAGACTCTCTCGAAAGCTGAAATAACTTTAGATAGCAGCATATTTCTATTACAAATGTATCTGTTTCACACGAAAGTGCCAACAACACTTTCAAATAAAGACAAGAAATTAATGTAAAAATACATGATTTTTATTTAAATTTATTTTTATGTATAAAACAGTGTATGTAATTTTTTTTTTAACAAAATTGGGACCTGTGAAAACTTAAAGTTTAAAGTGATAACTTAAAGCACTGCAGCAGCTGCAGAAATCTGACTATATACAAATGAAGGAGTTGTAAAAGTACAGTAACTCATGTATACATATATATGTATGCGTTTGTTCGTATAAACATAGACATAAATATTGTAAATGCACTCATCATATGAAATGTTGGAATGTTGTGTAATATTACTTATATGCTAAACTAAAAATATTAATGTTATTTTTAAACTAAAACTAAATTAAATTAAATTTTTTACGATGCAATGAATCGCAAATGAATGAGCTATTATAGTTAGATCGCTGAAATTGGTGACGACAGTGATGTGTTGCGTATTTATGGTAGAACTATCACGGACATTTAACTTAAGGGGCACACCGAGTGTGAATTAAAAAATTAATTTTCTTCATATTTCGTTCGGTTATCCCTTTAAACATTTGATATACCAAAACTTGAAAATGATATTTGCAGCACTTTTTGAGTAAAATGCTTCCAAACCTCAAAAAGATATATTTGAAATTAGTAGACAAAGTGATCAAAAAGATCACTATAAATATTTCTGTATGTTTTCTCTATACTATATACAATAATCTAACTAGTTTTTTGATCTCACCATATTTTGGGTCAATTTAAATTTTTTTTAAATTGCACAGTAATGAATCGTTACCAAGAAGAAAACCGCGAAAACTCTTAAAAATTATGTAAGTGATCAGTATGGTGAGCTAAGTCGATTCAACCATGCCCGTCTGTCTGTATATACGCGAAATAGTCCTCACTTTTCGGTATGCAACTTTGCACACGTTCATTTACACCCATTAAAGTCTTCATTTGTTAGAACCGTCGATATTGAACGATAATAGCATGCAACCTCAATGAGCATAATCCAGCGCTTGTATAGAAAACTTTTTCATTTAACACGATATTTTCCAAGACAACGGTTTAATCTCAGAAGAAATTGTTCAGATCGTATAGCTACAGCACACAGCGGCCAAACAAACTGTTGTTTTTTTGTTTTTTAAAGTTTCATTCACGAAGAAGGTCGGAAAGACTGCACCTGTATTTAGCACCGTTATCATGCGTAAGTCCAACTTTTTAAAAATATTTAAAAAAAAATGTTTACTGTGTTTTCTTATAATTTCTCTCAAATTTCAAAAAACAGCTGTTTTCAGGCTGTCACACTAAGGCGCCCCTTAAAACTTCAACTGTAGCGGACTTCTATTACTTTTGTATGTATGTACGGGTATGCTGTTTTTGTGACGTAATTATGTTATGGTTTATGGCATTATGAACGAAATGTTTTTTGTTTTTGTAAGAAATGCATGTATGTGTATAGCGGTGCACCGTTATTTATAAATATTAATGTGAATTTTGTGTGACTACATGGCAGCACCGTTAAAATGCTCATACATATAATCCCAAAATTGTTGTCGCTCGGACTCCGGATTACTGCGCATGTTCAGATTAACGGAAATATCTAAATAATTAATGTCTTCCATCACAGTCTGCGGATTTATGGGCGCCCAGCTGGTGGTCAGCATTGTGTCCTCCACATTTTGCGGCGTTGGATTGCTGAGTCGTGATTAAATAAAATAAAGTAAGTGTTAAATATATAAAACACACCTATCGGGTGATCCAAGTAGAGATACTTTTTGCACAAGCTTTTTTCAGACAGATTTAAAAGAGATAATCTTCAATAAATAAATGACAAAGAATGTTCTTACGATGGATTAAAAACATTCCCGACTAGATTTGAAGTTTCTGTGTTGTTTCTTTAAAAAAGTAGGGAACCTCGAAATGGGTCACCCTTTATTTGCATATTTCTACTAGCGCTTACCCATATTTGGCGAAATTGGTCCACATGCGCACCATGCGATTCTTCACGAGCACCTCGGTTGAGCGCGGATCTAGGCTCAAGTTGAAGAATCCGAATTTGAATAAGTAACCCATTTCGTCGCCATGACACACGCCCGGACGCGTCAGACCCAGCATGCGCTTATAGAGTCCCAGCGCGCCGTCGTACGAGAAACGGTACATATAAACAGGTGCGCTGCCGTATTTGGCGTGATTGCGCGCAGTCTTGCGTATGCCCTGCAGGAACATCAGATCCGTGAGGAGCTGTAAAACGCAAGATAATAGTTTTCAGTTCAATTGACGCATGGTTAAAGGAAAAGTTGTGTTACGCACAGCAATCATTTCGTCCACGGACTCAATGCCCACTTGCTTGTTGCCCAAATAGAACTGACGTATGTCGCGTGTGACGCGCTCACGATCGTCTGTAACATTCAGATCGCGTGGCACCATGCGCGCGAAATCATTCTCGATAATCTCCAGTAGTTTTGGATTTTTACGCAGTCCTATCAAAAACCAAAAAAAAAAAAGAAAAAAACTGAAGCATTTAGCTCATTTCACATGCTTTTTTGTTGTTTTTACTCACTTCGTATGAAAAGCATGGCTTCGTGTGTATTGTAACCCGTCATGTACGGCACATTGCTATGGAATTTGTGTTGTTGGTACATATCACTGGGATGTTGTGTCATGAAGGGTTCTTCATAGTATATTTCTCTACCATCTTTCGCATTCCAATAACCCTCGACCACTGGCACGAACGGCAAGCCGATATTGTTGCGTGAGTCCTCAACTGTAAGTGTTGTGGGCGCAGCCTCCACCAGTTTCATGGCGGGCACGCGTCGCAGAAATTCCAAAATTTCATCCGTATCATTGGCACCCACGTAACCTAGATTGGCGGCCAGGCGGAAAGCGCGTTCCGACGAGCTGTCGGCCATCGACCAGGGGTTCAGCGCTGAACCGCTTTGCGAGATCGCACGTTGGAACAGATCTTTGGCGAGTGGTGAGAGGAGCAACATTTGTACGGACGAGGCGCCAGCGGATTCACCGAAAATTGTGACTTGTTTTGGATCACCGCCGAAAGCGGCGATGTTATCGCGTACCCATTTCAAGGCAAGCACTTGATCCTGCAAAAAATTTTTTTAATCATTTTTCCAAAAATGTACCTTCCTTGCTTACCTTCAAACCTTGATTGCCCGGCGCATCGGGGCCTGCGGTTAAAAAGCCTAGTGGACCTAAGCGATAATTGAGAGTGACTAAGACAATATCCTCCGCAACCAAATAGTCGGGGCCATATAGGAAAGTGTTGCCCGAGCCAAAAGAGTAGCCGCCACCATGTAGCCACACCATAACGGGCCGCTGTAGTTCACTGCAGTGGAAAGTGGATGGAATTAAAAGCAAATATAGAACAGATGGCAAAAATGTAATATATAAAAATTATTTCATTGAAGAATGTGCTCAAGAGTCACACTTTTCCCACTCACTCATCCTCTCTGGGTAGTTGTGTGGTGAAAACATTGAGAAATAGACAATCCTCGTTGCCTTTGAATGTGTCCAGTATCATATTCTTGTGCGGACAGCTGTTGCCCTCACGCGACGCATCGCGCACACCTAACCAAGGCTTTTCAGGCGCTGCCGCACGGAACCTGAAATTAAAATGTATGTGTCAAGAGGTTTTTGGTATTCTCACATAGTCATTTTACCTCCTGGTCCCTATGGGTGCCTCGCCATAGCGTATACCCTTGAAGCTGTAGTAACCACCGCGTTCACCGGACCTATATTTCTGAAAGCGTCCTCGAATTTTGCCCAATGAAGTTTCGATTACAACATTTGTATCCTTCTGAAATAGTTGTAAAAAAGAAAGAGTTTATTAAAGTTTAGGGTGAATTTATGCCTGATTAGAAAATTCTGGTCTCTTTTTCCTGCATAAAATATAAATTTTGGTGATAAATATAGTCTTTGAGCTTTGTGTTATAATCAAATTCATGTTGTCAAAATTTTTAAACTTCCTAAGTAGATTAGATAAGTAAATGAGGACTGCAAAGTGACCTAAAGTCTATTTTGACCCCTCCTAAGTCACAACTTCTCAGCTAGCCTCCAGCTATGGAGGTGATGTAATCCCTATTTGGAAACATGGATCCAAAGGCCTGCTGCTGTGTAGTCAATTTACAGGTATTCTGGAGTTTCAGATTCTCTGCTTGACCCCTGCGCCAATTTCCTCCGATGTTTTCGAGCCACTTGACTATACTACCCCTAAGCAGTAGCTTGAGAGCGGAATCATTGCATTGAGCCTTACTGCTCCTAAGTAGCTTAGATATAGTTTTGATTTCACTTAGTATTTTCTAGGTCCGAATCTCCTCTATAGTTAAACACAATATTGACGGAATGAGAAAATAATTCTGCGATTGTTTTTGCAATGAATACCGTTATCTCATATAAGCGAAGTTGGAATGCTGAAATAATAGTCATTGACGTGTAATAACTATCCAATAAGTTTTTCGAACAGAGCCTAGAACTCATCAATGATCCGGAACATATACTTTGCGTTTTTGCTAATACTAAAGAAAACTGTATCAATTTCGAGTTCCATTTCGCGACTCAATTTTATATCTTTTTGACATCATGCTATTTACATATCAAAATAAAATTGGCGCGCCGTGCAATTTTGTAAAAGTTAGTAGGTCAATTTTGATAGTGCTACGCATTCTTAGACGAAGATCTACCCACCATTAAACCAGCAGGTGTTTGCGGCTTAAAATTCTTGCTACCTTGACTGACTTAAATGTAGAAATATGATAGTTAAATGTATAACTTGAAGGCCAACCACAAATTTTCATCAGCAAGAACTTTTGGCAAGTTATTTTCTTACAGTCAGGCGAAAAGTTTTGTAATGTTTTAGGAGAATTCTTTCCTGTATTTTCGGCAACATTTTTATTTTATTTTCTAGCAATCTTAAAAAGAGATTTCAGATTCAAACTATGATTAGAGATGGCAACAGAGCTCTCCTACTTCACTACCACAGAAATTCAATAATTTTAATCAAAGATCATAATTTCAAAAGAGAAGAACAATAACCTTGACGAATCTTTGGATTCGTGAAATTGCTAAACAAAGAGTTGTCGAATTTTTAAAACATTAACTTATCACTTCACTCTCGACAAGACTTATCCCTGATGGTTGTTTCATCGACTTTTTAACTTAACATTTTTATGGAAGAATTCATGAGCAGATGTAGAATGTTTCACGAACATTTTAGGCTCCACCATTATGATAAAGCTGTCGTGAGCCCAAGAGAAAAAATGTTTTTAATTTTAAGAAAATGGGTTCAACTATTTAGAGCTTCTAAAGTATGAAAAGACAAGAAGTTCATTACAGCAACTGCTTAATGCCGTCAGAAAGTCAAGTAAACCAAAATATTTACTTTTTAAACAATTTAAATTTAAAAGGGCTGCTAAAATTTTAGAGCTACTGTGTTGATTTTAAAATTCTTGACTTATTCGGACCAAGGCAACGAACCTCCGAAAATATGTGGTATGCAACAGATGCTAGTGTAGTGCGCGTGGTTAGAGCGACATTTTAAACTTGCAACTTGAACAGCATTTTTGGCTAACGGTGTCAATGCGCCTTAAAACTTATTCCCATATGCACTTGTGCTTAAGCTTTGCTTTTTTCACTTGCTTGTTCTTGCGAGCCATAGATGGCAAGTAAATTTGACGAACGACATAGCCGAGTAGCTTGGCATGTGACCACAGATTGAACGTCTGTTCTAAGAACACGGCAATCAAAAAAAGAAAAAAACGTTAACTTCGGTTGCATCGAAGTTATAATACCCTACACGAATACAAAAAATTCTTTGATTTTGAAGGTTAGTTGGTATCGCGCCTGTATGTTATAGTAATTCGATCTGAACAATTTCTTCATATTGTACCTATGTTTTAAAGAATATATCATATTGTGAAGATATTTTCATAAAATAAAAAGGTTCCATAGAAGAACTTAATTGTGAGCACCCAGTTTTTGTGGTGGTTATACGCTAATTGGTCCAATAAAGTAAAAAAGAACTGCTATGATCGAACTTATAAATTACAACAACTAAAACTACTAAAAAATAGTAGCCAACACAAATAAAAACACTCCGCTTCCATTTTCGCCAGTTCGGTGGGATGTCTGAAGCTATGCGCTAACAAATGTTTAAGGCTTGACCTTCCAAATGTGGGAAGTGTTGCGTTGTTTCCACCTTATCTTCTTCCACACAGTTTCTGCAGATGGCGTCTGGTAAGATTCTCAACTCTACAGCGTGGACGCCAATATGGCAATGGCATGTTACAGTTCCACAACATAACGATTCCGCAATGGCCTGGCACCCATAACAAATCCACCCGAATATATTAATAGCGAGGTTAGGGACACCTCGACCAACCCTGAACGCACTGTTAATGAATTCAATCCTACTATACTATACTATATCGCCTCTCTACCTGTACTTGAATGAATTTTCACTTCTCTGAAGGAGGCTGCAAAGCGGTGCAGTACTGCTACCTTAATGACTGCAACCTCGGCTTGGAAGACTGTGCAATAATCAGAAAGTCTGAAGCTAGAGTAGGCAGAGAGCTCTTGATACCAAACTCCACCAACATTCCCCCCAAGCTTTGACCCATTCGCAAAAAATATATACTTGTATATATTTTATAGAGTATCCGGAGTGGGACTCGAAATATTATACTAAGTACTTGAGAAATTTATGAGATCCTAGGTTTGTCAGTAATTGTGAAATATTGAAGAAACTCAGTTTAGAAGTTCAATATTGCTATTTTCAGGACAAAGTCTACATCTTAAATACTGCAATTAATGTAGACATTATTATTATTATTATTATTATTATTTTATTTTTAGTGTTTCTGCATAAAGAATAAGATCACTGAAACAGGTAATCCAAAATAAATACTTGAGACACTGCATGTGATGATCTTTTGGTTATCTCTCACTAGGTTCCTCCTTTTGTCTCCGCTACATATTGTTTCATCCTGTTAAAGAATTTCTTAATTTAAAGATTTATATCAAAAAGTTCAGCTCAATTTGACTCTATTTTTACAGTTGACAATTCAGTCCATTGCACAGTTAGATCTATGCGATAGTATTGTTAAAAACTGATTTGATGGGATCCGCAAAAGTTGCTATTGAAGAATATCTCAATTTACTCTGCCACAATCAACGACGTGGTTTTGTATGAGAACTAGTTACGGTTTGACGAAATTGCTACGAAGAAGTTATTGATTTCAGTTGGCGGATAGGAAAGGAACATTCAAAAAATAACCCATATATACTATCATTTATTCACGTCTACCGTGAATGGCATATTCTTCAAAGATTTCTTAAAATTTCATTTGATGAGCAAGTTTTCAAAAGCTGAAAAAATTTTAATTGTTCAAGGTGTTTCTTTAATTCTAAATATCAATCAACATCACAATCGACAGCCGAAAGCGTTACAAGGTTACATCATAGATTTTCGCCGCCCACTAGAACCAAACCCATTACATTTAACATGCTTGCACGCACTTGTCGAACAACAATTGCATACACAAGAGCTACGAGTATGAATTGCCTTCAATTATGTGGAAGTTGCTCCTCAATTTCAATTTCTTATGGCAAAAATGTCAATTTTAACTACCGTCACACCTCTCTGTTGATTTACGTGCTTTCAGAATGGCCAACTGTGTCAAGCAGCAGCAGCCAATCAACCAGCTACGCTTAATAAAATATTCTCAAATGGCAACCAAACGACTGTAGTGACTTGACAATTGCCTGAAGCACTAGAGTGGGTCGATTGTTTTTCTATAAAATAGCGTGTACGGTAAATATTCTATGGATTATTTTGAACAACTTTACTTATGAGACTATGGATCTAAAACCGTTATCAAGACAGTGAATCTTAAGGCGAAGTTTAAAAAATCTGAATAAACGCTTGTATGGGGGATATGTTGTATAGTTTTTCGATCTGATCGATAACAACAAATAATCAATAGTAGATCAAATTGCACCCACGTATTAAATTTCATTCGAATATCTCAAAAAGTGAAAAATTTTTATAAACACTATTCTATTTTTTTCGCTCCCTGTAAATCGACCCGCTCTAATACATACATATAGGTATATATTACTGAAATTCAACTATAATTTAGCAGCAAATTAACTTGGTTGCGAATTTTTCACAACTTATTTGTTGTGTGCCTACTTTTTGTCGTCATCATTCTGTGGCGAAGGTCACTGTTGCCGTTGTTGGAATGCCGTAATGGCTCCAACGGGCTCGTTTTTGTCGCTTGCATGCGGTTGCGGTTGATTTGTAATTTTTATTGCGAATGGGCATTTTCACACAAATGCGAAATATGCTTCTTGAAGATTTCCTCAGACCCTTTATTCTTTGTTTTCATTTTGGTTGTCTAATATTGTATTTACTTACGCGTAGCGAGCGCACCACCTCTTGAACGACGCGCATCGCACGTGACGGCAACAGTTGCACCAGCGAGTTGGGATGCGATGTTAATGTCTTCCATGCGGTTGACTCCTGCAAAGTCGAAATATTTGTGATTACAATACTGCAAGATCAGGTATTACAAGTATGCATTTCGATATTTTAATAATTAAGTTAATTATGTATTAGATATCAGATATATTTATAATTTTTATACTCATGGAAGATGATGCTAAAGAATAAACTAAACGATTGTACGTATCACCTAAAACTAATCGAGATAGATATTGGGTTAGATTTGTTATATATTATATAAATGATCAGGATGACGAGAAAGCTGAAATCCGAGTGCTGATAACTACCGCTACTGGAAAAGGAAGCGAAGCGTATAGGTCTGGTTGCGAACAAGACGAAATATCTTCAGTCATCAATCAAACAGTCGTCGCATTCGCGACTTGGCTCTCACGTCACTGTTGGCAGTAATAACTTCGCAGGCATAAATAATTTCGTCTATCATGGAACTAGCATTAGCACCGATAACAACGTCAGCTTCGAAGTGCAACGCAGAATAACTCTTGCCAACAGGTGCTACGAATACTTATGACTGAGTAGGCCATTGAGAAGTAAAGTCTTGGCTCGAGGAACAAAGACAAAATTCTACAAGTCACTCATCATCTAATATTGCTTGTACGAGCATTACGAGGTATGGCGACGTTGACATAGTTCAGTGAATTAAGAGGCAGCCGTTACGCTGTCTAGGTCATGTCGTCCGAATGGATCCAAGCACTCCAGCTATTTGAGTATTCATCACAGTAGCCGCCGGGGAAGAAGAGGAAGACCCCCACTCCGTTGGAAAGGCCAGGTGAGGAAGGACCTAGCTACAGTTGGAATATGTACTTAGCGCCAAACAGCGAAAAGGATGAACGCCTGGTGCGATGTCATCAACTCGGTTATAATCAGAAGTATTGTATGCGCCAATACAGAAGAAGATATCTTTCAAACCAATAAATCTATATCCGCCAAATTTACAGAAAACAATTTGTTTAACCTTTCTAATGATAGTACGGAAATAGACGAAATTGGTTCCAATAAATTTGAACGCATTCGTTACGTTTTCCACTATCAACGCCAACGCCTTGATGTGGTTAGAGAGTAAAAAATATTCGATTACATCCGAACGCAAGACTTCCTTATTTGTTTTTTTGTTAACTAGTTTTAGTTAGCATGAGTTCCTGGAAACACCTTCGCCCGTTGAGGGTTTTTTGAAAAAAGTGTCTCCAAAGCTTGGACCAGTAGTTGAAAATTGAGACTTTTTACGTTTTTATTTGTAGGTGTAAGATTTGATTGAAAAAAGATTTCTTTGTTTAAATAGAAGAAATCTGTGATGTTTCATTAATTGCGAAAAGAAAATCTTAGCATACGGAAAAACAGTTGGATTCAAGAAGTCTGCCGTTGGGGATTTTTTGAAAAAAAAAAAATTAATCAAAAACGCTGAGAATATCAGAATGGAGATCATAGCAGACCTTAGAACTGAAATCATGGACTTGGAGGTCTGGTTATAACAGATGGAACAGTAAATACGAACTAAGTACCAGCCAATACTTAAGGAATATTTAACACCTTCAATTGGAAAACGCTTTTCGCAAGACAATTATCTCATCTTTAATGATGATTCTGCGTCATATCATCGTGCCAAAAATGGAAGGTATCAATTTTTTTTTCATGCCTGCAGTTTACAAAAATTATTTCATTAACAATACTAATTGTACCGAAATACCAAAGAAGTGACCCAGTACCATAGTTGAGTTGGTTAAAACCGTCGAGGATGTCTTGTATAACGAAATCGCAGCACAAACATAATGCATACTTTGACATAGAATAGTTATAGAAAGTGAAGGAGGCTCAACAAAATATTAATTTTAATATTTTTGGAGATTTAGACGATTAAAAACTATTTAAGAAAAGATAAAAGTTTTTTCATTTAACTTTATTTAGGAATATAATAAGCACACACAATATTAAACATCAAAATCTAAGACACTTGGCCGAAAAAATAAGAAAAACCATGACTTTTGAACTGTCCGGATTTCAATTTTCGAAATTGCATAATAATAATTTTCGAATTTGCTCAAATTCGAATTCGAACATAAATATTTGGACTTTGGTGGCTTACTGCGAAAAATGGAAAATTGATTTTTTACTTATGACTCAATCTAGAAAAATATTATTTTCAGGTAACTTTATGGTGTATTGCATGTATGTAATTAGATAATTGTCTCTTTCGAAACTAAGAGCTTACTGCAACGGTAATTATCAAATTATATGGTTTATAGCGGTTTTTGCAAACATAACCTTGACATTATCTAACTCAAATTAATGCCACTAGATTACATATCAAAAAACAATTAAGCGATTCGCATTCAATAAAATTTTATAATTGTCATATAGAAGTGCAGACATGGCGTATGAGTAACCAACAATTGCAATTAGAGTAAACAGATTGGCATGAATTTATTTATGTACATATGTAACGGTATCTACGTGCTGTATACCAACGAGTCAGCTGCTATAAATACTCGTACATACATACATACACTAATATGTCGCAAAGCCTGAATGATAACCCCAATAGTGTTTTGTTGCGTCTGAATGAGTTAATTGCTTGCCGGCTGGTTTACAAGTTTTAATCTGATCTAAAGTTCAGTAAATAAAATTTTGTCTCGTTTAAGCCGCTTTGTACTCCAATTAAAATCTCATAAATTTCTCACACATCTTTTACCGTTGATTTCAAACACTTCGTGCACTGCGCTTTACAACTTCATTTTATAAATGACGAAAATACTGGTTTTTATATACACATACATATGTATGTATATACCATTATAATACTTAAGAGTATACATATACATATATAAAATATTAACAAGTATATTTATGCATTGCTATGTAAAAACGAAACGTTTATTCACAGATACACATACATATGTATGCAGCTACACACCACCAGCCTCTAATTTTCTCACATTGCATGTCACACAATTCTTCTTCGCTTGCAAATTAAACATTTTCAAGTTCAACTTCAGCTGTTAAGCATTGTTTTGTCATCAGGTTTGGCCATTTACATAGTTTAGGTAACATGAATATACCATGCATGCATATGCATACACATGTACATATGGATGAGTGCGATCTCGTGCTCATAGCGCCCTGCAGACTTCCGAAGTGTAAATGTTTGGCTATTATCAATGCTGTACACAAGCATTCGCTAAAGCTTCGATAAACGCAATTTTTTTTTTATCAAAATCGCCGATGAGTCTTTCCGCATATTTTGATAAAGCGTCTGTGCTTTTCCACAATATTTCGTAAACGAGTTCAATATAACTGAACTCAATAAGTAATGTCTTTGAACTTTAGTTGTAGAAATTTGCATTTAGCATACATTTTTTCCATAAATCTTTGACCTGGAAGTGGGCACACATTAATATTATCTAAATAGATACAAGTTTTGTTTATTTTCTGAATTTAATTAGATTATTCAAATATTATATTACTGGTGTCCTACTAAAAGCGGATTTAACCATCGCAGCTGTTAAAAAGTCTTCATTTTAATTTTTTCAATTAGCCTTCTAATATTGGGTAAGTCGATCTTATAGCTAAAATTGCATAAAATAAAAAAGGTATTTAGACATACATTTCCTCTTATGTATGTTAGTACATAAGTAGATCAAGTTCTTAAAAACCCTTGAATATATGATGATAATTTAGCAAATGTTTAAGTAACTCTAAAAAATTGTCGACCAAAATGGTACATATTTGTTCATTTATTTATTAGTATAAATATAAAAAAAATTAGTTATTATAATTAGAAATTAGTTTGATTAGAAATACGAAAAGACCTTTTCGACTACCCGTTACTAAACAGAGACTTCACTATCAATTTTTAGCTGAAATATTATTAGACCATTTCCAGCATACTCTTAACTGCAAGAATGCACTAAGCTCACTGGAAGTTAAGCCTCACCAAGACTTGATCTGGGTTCCCGGCTATAGGGACATTTTCGGCAACGAAAAATCAGACGAGTAGGCAAAGGCAGGAGCTTTCCAAACGAATCCGGGATAGAGTGATATACCAAGCCCGCTAAGATCGATCAGAAAGAGCTTAATATACAATTTCAACAATTAGCAAATAATAGTAGGGAAAATATAACAAAATGCACAGTCAGCGACTGCCATTCGACGCATACGGTTGTTCTCTCAGTGTTTTCGGTGTCTACTTTGTACAGCGCGCCTACGAGCTAATTCGTCTCACGTGTTTTGCAATTTACTTTTTCTTCTTTCTATAGTGATTTTTCTAACTCTTCAATACAGTCAACTGCAAAGGTAAATTTTTTTCAAAATGTCCCCTGGTGGGACCTAACTGGGAAATAATCGGTTCGCCCTGTTAGATTCTAGTCTCGAACCAAAAAGAAAAAAAAACCAAAGCGACAAAATTTGACCTCTTCCCCACTCTACCAACAAAAGCAAAAGACCATCCCAAATATTTGGTGGTAAGTGCGACAGACACGAAYAAACCTCTAAACAAATACTCCCGTTTCGCAATCCATAAAGCCTTRTTAAACATAAGCTCTGAAATAATAAAAATCAGCGAGCTACGGGACGGAAACCTACTTCTTCTTGTGAAAAACAACATCATAGCCAAAAAGTTCACGTCTAYAAAACAACTATTAGGAGTTTGCAACGTCAAAATTGACTTACACAAAAATCTTAACTCTTTCAAAGGAACCATTTACGCTCCTTGCTTAAATGACGTTCCTGACGTAGAATAGTTGAAAATCTGAAGGAACAGGGTGTGTCGTCCATCTTCAAATTCCCCAAGTATGTAAATGGTCAATCTGCTCCGAGCGAAGTAGTCCTTCTTACATTCGACTTGTACTACTTACCGGAACAAATCGACATCTCGTGGTACAAAACAAAAGTAAGACCTTAATATGCTAATCCCATGTGGTGCAAAAACTGCCAAGTTCTTGGTCACACCAAAAAACGTTGTCATAAACGTATGTATGTAACATATTAAACAACTCAACCAACAGCATGAAATAAAGTTGATCGAGATAGCTGCCGCTTGAACAGATCCTTCATGAACATTTGGGTATGTGAAAGTTTTATACTTTAAGTGGGTGCCAGTTTGGTACTACAGTGACATTACCTTATTTTTAAACCTGAATACGTTTACGAAAGAAATCTCTGAATGAAAAGCAACACAAGCCTTGATCATCCGAGAATAAACAGTGTTAAATCGAAATAGGTCTAGTAAACTTTGGAAATTTTTATCACATGCTTCAATTGTCTCATTGGCGACATCGCTAAGACACAACACAGTTTTATACCTGTCTGTCAATTACTTCCTGATTTTGATGTCAACTAAATTGTTTGTTTCGCAGTACCATATTTTGTTTACTATGAGAAGAGATTGTCAGGCGTTTTTTAAAATTAAAAAAAAAATTACCAAAAAGTTTGCTTGACATTTTATGTATGGAATGGAATGACCGTGGGGCCACCACTTTATGACGAACACAAGTATTTGAGCGGCACAAAGCATGTAGTGAAGGTAGTAAAGTCATTGAAAACATCTTAAGAGTCGTCCATCCACCTTTGTTAATGACAATAACATCATTAAAGTTAAAGAAACATTGCTTAAAACCGTCGTGTCGGTCTCAAAGAGATAGCAGATGATCGCAACATCCTTTATGGATCGACTCAACACATTTTGGTTAATGTTTTGGTTATGTATCGAGTCAATGCTAGATTCGTACCAAAAGACATGAATACGAAGTGTGTGCAATTTTTGAATTTTCGAGAGTTACGTATATTCGAATTTCGAATTTTTTGTGGTGTTATCTTGGTACTCATATCTCTCATTTATGCCGACAAGCTCGGCCATTTTGAATGTTCATTTAATTGTTGACAGCTGCTTTGCTTGCACGTGTTTTGGATCGTCTTCGATTTTTACGTATTCAAAAAAATGGATCAAAGACCCTGTATCAAATTTTTTGTGAAAAACGAAATTAAGGGCGCGGATGCATTCCGAATGTTGACTGTGGCATACGGAGAAGCTACCTTGGAACGAAGCAACGTTTATCGGTGGTACAAAATGTTTTCAGAAGGCCGAGAAGAAGTGACAAAAATTTGCTTTTGCACCACGATAACGCCCCTGCTTACACATCTTTGCTTGTGCGCGACTTTTTGGCCAAAAACAACACACTAATGATGCCGCAGCCACCGTATTCCCCAGATCTGGCCCCCTGTGACTTTTTCTTGCTCCCTGAACTGAAGAACCCCATGAAAGGACGACGTTACACTTCACTTGACGAGATAAAGACGGCATCGAAGGAGGAGCTGAAGAAGATAAAAAAAAATGGTTTTTTGAAGTGCTTCGAAGATTGGAAAAACCATTGGCACAAGTGTATAATATCTCATGGGGATTACTTTGAAGGGGACAAAATATATATTCATGAATAAATAAATAATTTTTGAAAAAACACAAAATTTGCGATACTTTTTGAACACACCTCGTATGCGAACACGAAACGGAGTCTCTCTATCAGAACTGGAAAATTCTCTTCGGGTAACACAAAATGAGTACATTGAGACCATTAAAAGTCATTTGCTGAAGGCACTGAGAAATGTGTATTAAAAATGGGATGGACCTATTTTCGAGGCGATATAAAAGTTTGTGTTAAGATACGTGAACATATTGTTTTTGTTAGTTCGGTTGTTTTTGTTAGCAGCTCAGTGTTTCTTAAGTTGAAGCCTTGAAAGTTGAGAAATATATCTCGTCTCATCTGCCTGAAGGCATTTGCAAAGAGGATGTTCCAGCGTCGTATACTCCTCCTCACATGCTCTACATTTCGCTGAATCCACTGTTCCCATTTTCTGAATTTGTAATCTTAAGAGTAGGTACCCTGTGTTGACCTTTAAAATATTATTAAACTCTTTTTGTCCCAGAAGTCGATGCTTTTTGGTCTATTTATCACCAATATCACCCCAAAGCAACCTCTAGGATCCACTGCTTCAAGCAAGCTTTGAAGTAGCTGAATAGTGAGTGATGTATATTTGATATACAACACGCAAACACAATTGTCTTTTATTTATTTAATAATTTTTCAAAAAATATTAGATACCATATATTATATTTGTTAATAAAAAAATCAAAAATCCCAAAAAAAATCTCAAGTGTCATCACCATAAAAACTAATGACTGCAATTAATTTGAGAATTAAAATGTGCATTTAATAACTAATAATTGAAGAAACCTCCTAATATGTAAGCTTTAAAATTGCATTATGCATAATTTAATTCTACAAAATAACTGTAATTAGTAAAGTGAAAACCTACCTACAACTTTAGCTATTTGTGCACATATGTAGCAGATGCATAAGTTACTGCATAATTTACTAATATTAAAAATAAACAAAATATAAAAGCCATTTGACATGCACTGCCACTTCCGCATTGTGTGAAAAAATGTTTTATTCAAAATCCAAGCGCAGCTCAAAGACATGTTGAAAGACAATGAACCGCAGCGCGACCAAAAGCGCAAATCAACTTTTTTACCTCAAAGCCAAATAAACAACAATAACAATAACTAATAATAATAATAAATTAATGACTGTTGTTTGCTGTTATTACACCTTTGATTTGCTGCAACCCGTGCGTAGCAAAGCAAACATACTGACACACATTTCTATATACATATGTACATATTTGTACACTTTCTCGGGTAGACATAAAAATGCGCATCTGTTGCATATGCCCTGTAGGAAATTCAATATATATACAGAGAGAAGTGCGGTTCATGGCGCAGGAGCATAGCTTCGTTTTATGGGGTCCGAAGTTTTGGAGCCAAATTTTGTTCAACGATGAGGCACATTTCTGACTCAATGGCTATGTAAACAAGTCTAATTGCCACAATTTGGACGAAGAGCAACGTGAAGATATCCAACAGCTGCCATTTCATTCAGAAAAAACAACAGTTTGGTGTGGTTTGGCGGGCCGTTGGAATCAGCGGTCTATATTTATTCAAAAATGATGTCGGTGAGAACGTAACCGTCATTGACGACCGTTATCGCACCATGAAAACCGATTATTTGATGCCTAAAATTGAAGTTTGTGATCTCGGCGACATTGGCTTCAACAAGATGGATAGAATCCTTCGGCGAGCAGATAATTTCACGTTTTGGGCCGGTCGGTTGGCTACCAAGATCGTGCGATATCACACCGCTAGAAATTTTCCTGTGGTTATTTGTAAAGTCTAAATTCTATGCGGACAATACTGCTTCGATTCAGCCCTTGGAGCAAAACATCAACAATATTTCTGCGTTTTTTCTTTAAAAGAATAGGGAACCGCGAAGTGGAACCTCCTCTAGATCAACTTAACACATTTTGATTAATATTTTGGATATACTCCAAAATATTCATACGGCTCATTATCGGGCAACATTCGTGTTCGAAGCTCATTTTCGCACCCATAACACAAACATACTGACACTTAAAACATAATAACTTCATTTCGAATAGATGAAATGTCATGATATTCTCTCTAGAGAATCGATAAAGATAGCAGACTCTAACGCACCAGTTGATATATAGATGACGCCACCAGGTGGCGCTAGATTCCTGTTTACTTTGAAAAGCAACTTGTAAAGCGTGTCCATGCTAGAGTCGTACCCAAGAGCCCAAAATCCTTTGTAAAATGGCGTCAATGATTGATAAAATAGTTAAGAACCCTGTATTTATCAAACGCATAATTACAAGTGACGAGTTGTGGGTTTCTGAATGTTAAACTGTCAAGGAATGACCTAATGAATGACTTCAAAATTGAAGAAAAATCGAGGAAAAAGTAAAATTTGCTGAAAGCTCTGGTAATCCGACTCAAATTTAAACAGTTAGTAAATCACATTGTTAAGTCCAGAGTGACTAAATGGGAAAACCCCTCAATACCAGCTAGTAATAAAGTTAACTGTACTAAAGTCGAACCGGTTAGCAATTAATGTTTTTAGCCCTGCAGGGTCATACAGACACACGCGTATTTACCTCCAAAGTGTTGGTTGCCGCGCGTGCTGCCACAATGGCTGCTGGCATCAGTTTCGCTTTAAGCCTTGTGATTCGTCGCGACGATTGTGCTCGATCGACAGCAGCATTTATTGTTGTTGTTATATATGCCGGTATTTTTCTAGTGCGCATCGCTGCTCTTGTTACTATTGTTGTTGCGGCATTCATAGCACCCGCCGTACTAATTCTAGGTTGCTCATACGCCGATGCGACGCCGCGCTCTGTCGACACTGGCTGAACTGTTGTTGTTGTTGCATCTGTTATATCGTTACGTCCTCGTTGCTCGGTCATTGGCACTGTTATGTCGCTTTCTGTTGGTTTTGAACTCATTATTGTTGTTGTTGTTGTGGCAATTAGCATCAACTGTTCTGTGATTTGCGTAAAATTGGCTTCATGCGCCGCCAACTCTCGCCCCAATCGCCGGCTGGCATTCTGCGACGCAATGGCGAACACAATAAGACCGCTCGCCGCCACAATGACAACGGTCACAATAACATAGTCAGCAATGCAACGGTATTTCATATTGAGTGTGACGATTGAAGAGCGCGCCGAGTTGAATGGTTCGTTAGATAAACGGTGCTGGCGCACGAGTGTCGCACGAGTCGATTCGCCAATTGAACACTTTGTCAGTTCAGCCAGTTTTGTGGTGAATTGTGCTCGGCTGGTCACTCGGTCAGCCGGTTAGTTTGGTGGCACACAAAGTCTGCTTGCAGAGAGCGTAATATGCATGTGTGTGTTTATGTGTGTTGGTGCACTTTATGTAACACTGCGTTACCGAATACAACGATCAGTTGCCGTGTATATATTAACTTTTTTGCTGGCGCTCAACTTTTTAACCCTTTTATTGTAAGTTACTGCACTTTTTCCGTTGCATAAACGGGTTTCTTCGCTTTTCACTTCCGCTCACAATTTTCCAACAATTTCACAAACGGCAAATTCACTTTTCACTCTCGATTTCGCTGCGCATGCGCGTTTTGGCCACACTTCAACTCCGTTACTCGCCTGCGACTAAGCGGCCATCAACGGAGTTAACTCTCTTACATAGTTGCCAAAAGCTGATTGCTTGCGCCTATTAGTAATATCACTACTACCAACGCCTTATTTGCAGATACAGTTTTTATTTTCGTAAATGAAATGCTGCCATTTGTTATTGCTGTTGTTGGTGTTGCACTTTTTGCAGTCTACTCTTTGAATGCATACAATTCATTATGTAAAACATGCAACTGTAAGAAATAATCTCATCGTCTTGAGCGACATTTCAGATACGAGGGTGCGTTCAGAAGTTTTCGAACTCAGAGAGTAAACTTATTTTTGAATTTATTTATTGGGCCCGACTAAGTAAATACTAAGATTTATTTGCCTTAAGCAATATTTCAGATGCGAGGGTGCGTTTGAAAATTTAGCAACTTGGATAGTATACTAAATTTTGAATACATTTATTAAGCCCACTAAGTAAATAGATTTATTTGGCTTCAGCGAAACTTCAAATACGAGGGTATGTTTTGAAGTTCGGGAACTTGGATAGTATAATTATTTTTAAATTCATTTATTACGCCCAACTAATTAAATACCAAGGTTAATTTGCCTTAGCGGCATTTCCTATATGTGCATATGTATGTATGTACATACGAGGGTGAATTTGAAAGTTTATGCATTTTGACGGAAGTCTTATTATTGATATTTTTTATTACGTTCAATCAAGTAAATACCAAGATTAATTCGCATTAATTGGCATTTAAGGTACGAGGGTGCATTTAGAAGTTCGAGAACTTGGCGCGTGGACTTATTATTATGATTAACCGTGTTAATACCAAAATTTATTTGCCTTGGTGAACATTCCAGAAACGCAGGTGCGAGTAAACTCGGAGAGTTGACTTTCTATTGGTGAATTAATTGTTTGACTACTTAACTTCGAAGAAGGGAGAAATACCTTGCTTACTTATGAGGCAATCTTTCGAAAAAAAAACCTTTCTTTCAATACTCAAAAAATACACATTATGTAGTCCTTGTACCTTGACAGTTCGCATCGTCAATGCTGTTACTTCACCTTTGTCTTAAATGATTATAATTTACTTCTGACGACGAATAAGGTACTCCATACTAATATTGTTAGGTTATGAAGAAATGCTAGACGTTGTCCTTTAACTTGAAAATACTCCCTAGTATATAGAGGTACATATATGTGTAACTCTCTGTTGGTTTGAGATATCACTTTATTTTCGTAGAGCAGATTTTTGAAGGCTACATGACTTCATTATCTCTTTACTATTGTTGCTGGTAATCTCACATGTTATTGCACTTGTAGTGGCTTCTCTGAGGGTATACATAAATTACATTGCTTTATGGCTTGAGTGCCACGTAAAATGCAGAAGAAAGTAAAGTTTTGTAATGCAAAGAGCTCGAACTATTACTAGGGTAACCACGCTGTCTTTTTAGTTTTTATAATCTGGCAACATTTGCAAAGAAATTTTGATAATTCAGATCACTTAATGGTTATTTGTAGCATTTTTAAATAATCGAGATATACAAACTAACTATTACCTTAGTAACTACTAAAGCATATCAAAGTTAAAGCTATTAAGTTTCAAACTTCGAGTTGCCATTTGCTCGTGAAATGAGAAGCACTGTACAGGTGTCCCAAGATTTCTGCAAAGATTTGGTTTGAATAGTGAGCGTGCTGGAGCAGGCTTATGAAAACTATTCCTCCCACGACGCAAAAATTGTGTTTGGCGATTTTAATGCCCGGGGGGGTCAAAAAAGGTATATTTGGTACAAGAGTTTTAAAATTCAGCTTCCTTGGCGAAACTTCTCCAAATGAGTTGAGGCTGATCGGCTTCGTAAGAGCCCGAAATATGGTTGTTTGTAGAACCAGCTTGCATCACAATAAAATTCAAATGCTGTCTCAGTTCGTAACCAGATAGACAGAGGAAATACTTCTCTTGCTGCGTTGCATGCAACAAATTGCTAGATCTTTCTAGCCACTTTGTTTGATATAAGGCACTCCCAAGCCGAACTAAGGTTTCTTAATACGGGAAAAATATTTTTTAGGAAGATATCTATCCTGATTTGGAACGATCAGTTCGTATGAGAGCTATATGTGTCGTATATGACCGATCTGAACGTTGAATTCTAAAATTGTAGAACTGCCTATGGTCCAAGATGTCCATCCATGTGGAATGTCGTAAGGATAGTTTGCCAAATAAAATAGTTTACCAGAAAAGAACTTGATTTTGATCCATCTGTTTGGATGGCCAGTGGACGGTTTGAAACTAATGAACGGCTTATTAGGGAGAAAAAGACGTGTGTAAAATTATAGATCCATAAGCCGACAGACGGGCGAATATGGGTAAATCGGCTCAGCACATCATGCGTATTTTTATACTCTCGCAACAAAGTTGCTAAAGAGAGTATTA